AGGGGCCTCAACCATAAAACAACTCAAATTGAGCGGCCTACTTATGGGCCCTCTCCACAACTCAACCACGAACCAACTCCACTGAGGGGCCTGCTTATGGGCCCCTTTCGCAACTTAACCATAAAACATCCGACATGGTAAGTACTCGAGCCTCAAAGACTCGCAAAATCCCTTAGGATTCTCACACTTTCACAATAACAGACTGCGCTCCCTCTCCTTATACTCGGCCCCGTCGTGCCTGTAGGCAGGCCGCAAGAGTATACCGAAGAGTAGACAGTTCACATTCATTTATTCTCATGAAATCCACACAATCCAATACACATGAGATGTATCTCACACATCTCTTTCACAAAGCCATCATACATCAGGATAAAACCACACATGTGAGAGTGATTGTGATCGTCATATACAAAAGACAGTCTCGGATAAGGCCTCAACTCAATATATACACAGGGATACAATACCCCGACTCAAACACGAGCCGAATGTCTCGAATTACATATATACACTCGGAGTTGAACAATCTCAACTCAAATCGTCACTGGTATCACACAAGAACAAATGCGCCGCGAGTGCCGTACCTGTACGCTTTCTTTTCATTAAATTCATAATCCAGACCGTTCAGTCTTGCGGTCCCCCTGACCAAAGCTATAGCTAGAACAGTTTGATCACGACGTAGCGATACCCCTTCAAGTCAGAGGGACCCAAGTAATTCAAGACATATCCAGATATCCTAGGACAGGTAAGGCTAGAAGACATTCATACACAAGCTTTACGACTGCCTTCCTAGGCTAGAGAACCTACCTCCCACATGCTGAGGTTTCTTCCCAAGCCTCTCCTACCACTCACACCTATGCAACCATTCAGGCCTGGACACGACGTAGGTCCCATACCTTCTTCTCTCAGTCAGTAGGCCTAGTAGAACAGACCCTTATTTCGTAACAATACTGTCAGGGTCACTCCGTGCTCCATCTACTTGAGACATCCCAATACTATCAGGGTCACACCGTGCTCCATCTACTTAGGCTGCCCTAGCCCTAACCTAAGTGGTTGAGGGAAACACTTAGGGTTAGGGTTGGATGTAAGGGAGATGGGGCAGCGTGGCTGAGGGCAGCTGCCCCCACCTGGTTTGGTCATGTGGGGTTGACATTGAACCTAACCAGGTCGCTTGAGAGTGAGATTAGGGTGGCGAGACATTTCGTGGAGACTTCATGCGGCAACTTGAGAGAGGCGACAGTGAGAGGCACTCGCACCTGGAATCTGATTCAAGCGAAACACTTGGCAACTCAAGGGCTGCCCTCAAGTAGGCGAACTTGAGGGTCAGCGGCCACTCAGCATCTACGGACTGCGAGTTGCTACTTTGTTATCCAGCATCGGCAGGGGACTCGACGTTGCCCTTTGATGCTGGAGTAAGACCCTCCTGGGAGATAGGACACTAGTGTAGGGGTAGCGTTAAAGGGATCAGGAGGATCACATGAGAGGGGGGTGAGTTCTACTCATCTCGAAGCTCAGGCCACTCAGGTGAGTGTCGTGCACCTACGGGATACCCATGTATGTGTGCATCGTATTGATTGTCCTGCTGGAGTTATTTTGGGTTTCTTTCCTACTCCTCTGTGGTCTTGATTGTGTGATTGAATGTGTGTGAACTACCTACTCACTTGATGGATGGAGAAACGAAGTATCTTGATTTGAATGTCGATTCCTTCTATAGTGCTTTGTCTTTTCATCTCTGAACGGCTGTAGTCTGTAGGTTCTGTTGGAAGTTGAAATTCGTTTTCAGGATGGTAGAGGCAGAAACTTAGTCCAAGAGGTGGTTGGGACTCGGTCACAACCTCCGTGGGACCCTTGGGGACCCAGTGGGACTAGGCCCAAACAAGAGGAGCCTTTGGACCCGAATCTGTTAGACATTAGTCCATTCTCTACCTGACTGACCCGGAGTTTATTCTTGTTGATTAGGACACCCACTGCCGAGGGGATCTCGACTGAGACGTTTCGCAGTTTTTGATCGCACCGTCCGTGGCTCGACTCGCACCCTATACACCACTCTATTCTCCATTGTTGCATTTAGTCACTCGTTGTCTGATTTGTTGAACGATCACGGAGCTGGTTAGACTGGACTCGAGAGGACCTCGTATGCAGTCTGATCAGACTAGGTCGTTGGATCAGACCTCTCCTGTGAATTTTTTTTTGTTTTCTGGTTTGCTGCTCTCTAATCCAAATGTAATGCCGCTCCGGCTAGGAGTTCTACCTTCTCTTCTTTTAACTTTTCAGTCTGTTTCTTTTTTTGAGTTCATATTTTGATGCCCGTAAAGACTCGCGGACAAAAGGAAGAGAGAGAGAGAAGAGAGAGTGAAAGCCCCCATCTTGAGGGACTTGTGGAAATGGGCGATGTAAAGGATTTTGTGGCCTTAAAGGCCCAACTGGATGCAGTCGTAGAGGAGAATAAACCATTGTTCCAAACTCTCTATGAGAAGGCACCAGCAAGGGAAGAGAAACCGGAGGAGGAAAAGCGGAAAACCGTTGTTGCAGACCATGAGGCTATCCTCAGAACAGTCTCCTCCTTGCCTGACACTGAGGTCAGGAAGGAGATAGTCGCATTTGTACATGCTCTTATAGATTGTCACCTACTCAGTGACATCCCTGAACAGATAGCGGGTAGAACTGGCCGAAATGACCAAAGAGCACAAGGATCAAATGTGGCAGATGGCAAATCTGCAGAAGGATTAGATTCCTCTCCCTCTACCTCCTGCCTCCAATGCTGCTAACCAATCTGTCCTCGCTCCTCGCCATTCCTCTACTTCTCAAAGTGTGGTTTCATCGGGACCTGTAGTAGGTGCATACATTGTTGCCGCTACGACAAGTGATGGCGCAGGAAATTCTGCAACTGCCGCAGCCTCGAGTTTAGAAACAACGATCACTGGTGCCGGCTACAACAGTCCCTTTGTGGACAGGAAGGCGGTTCCCATATCGTCTAAGAACGACGACAAGGAAGATGTTGAGTCCTGGATCAGCTCCATGAGAGCTTACTTCGAGGTGTTGGGAACTCGACCAATGAGCCAGCCCTTGATCACGGGGACCAACGTCGAGCCCGCCGTACGAGGCTTCTTAGAAGTCCAAGGTACACAGGCCGGGTACACCAAGATCAATTCGACGCAGTGGCTTAAAGCCACACCAATAACAATACTTGAGGAGATCCTTATCAACCAATTTAAGGACCCACATGCTGCCGCAAGAACCTGAAAGAGACTTGATGATCTCAAGTGCAGCAAGTGGATGGGCACCATGCATAATTTGCAGTTGTTTGTCCGCAAACTTTTTGCTACTCCAGGACTGTAAATGATTGCACAATCATGCATGGATGTTGTGAAAGGTATAGTTCCCAATACCTACATGTATCGCCTAGGCAAAGAGCTCATTGGTTACATGGACTGGCTTTCCCTCATGCAAGATGTGGTCAACCTTGAGGCACAAAACCTCGTTTCCACAATAGGCAGCAAAAAGCCTATCGACGGCAGGCGGTTCAGAGGCAGCAACCGTTTTGTTGTGCATGACCTGTTGTTGGCTGATGAGGAGGCCTATGCAGACAACCCCACTCTTGGTGATGACCAAGAACAAGACCCTGACACGACCTGCTCCACTTCAGCCCATGACTCTGATGTGAATCACAAAAAAGAAAAATGAAATGCCTTTAGAAAGCCTACCAACGTAAAGGGACCAAACCGGAATTCAGGGAATAACTATATCTTCCCAAGGGAGTCAAAGTCCCAGCGAAACCGGAGGATGCAACCACTAAACCATGGGTTGACCTCCGGATCACTGAAAATGATTGGAGGGTTACGCTCAAGAAAGGGGTATGCCTGCATTGCCAGAAACCGAACCATAAAGTACAAGAATGTTATAGGTTGTAGGGAAACCAGAACCGGGCGTAAAGTTGACTTCAGTATCCTCTACGGCAAAGGAGACTGAATCTGATGCAAATCAGAAGGTCCTCCCTTGAAGCCCAATCATATGTTGATTCCAAGGCTGAAGTGTGTCATGCTTTGTATGCTTGGGAGGAACATCAGCGTGTCCAAGGGACAGTGAAGTTGATCTTCTTCAAACTTCTTATAAACCACCGCTATCTCCGGGTCTGGATTGATTGTGGAGCAACTACTAACTTTATGTCATCGCACGGGATTCGCAAAGTGGGCTTGAGAATGAAGCAAGGGGCTTTGTAGAACCCTTGTCAGACCCAAGTAGGCAACAAGGAAGTTGTCTCCTCTACGCATGCAGTCAAAGGTGTGCGCACTACCTTTGACAAAGACAAAACCGTCACCCAAACTTTGAACTTCTATGTCCTTGACAAGTGTCCCTTCGATGTTGTCCGGGGCTTGTGCTAGTTGCAGTTCCAATGCGAATGGACCAAGTGGAAAGAGTCACTTTTCATGATCAAGATGCTCAAGGGAACGAGCTTCCCGTCCTCTTGGATGAGAAGCACGAGTCCCAGTGATTTTTCTGAATGCCATGCAGTTTTGCAAGAAATGGCGCAAGCACAAAGAGGATGGACAATTGTATGTTGCCTTTGTTCGCCCTACTCATGTGCCATGTACTTTTGCGGCTAGCACCAATACCACATCTAGTGATTCTACTTCTAGCCCTTCTACTTCTTTACCTACCCCTAATCTAAATGATTCTATTTCAAGTTCGATAGCCTCCATTCGCAACCTACGACCTGATCTAGGTGACCCTTTTGCTGACCCTTCACCCCCACCGGTCCCAACAAACATCCAAAACCTACTTGAATGGTTTCCAAAAGTTTTGGCCGAACCACGTGGAGTTCCCACGCGATCAGTCCGACACACCATGGAGTTGGTCGAAGGTGTTGTTCCTCCAAGGGGTTGCATATACTGAATGGGATCCAGCGAGTTGGAAGAACTCCGTTAACAGATGAAATGATTGACAAGAGTTGGGTCAAGCCTCGTGAGTCTGAATTTGGTGCCCCTGTTTTGTTTGTGCCGAAGAAAGGAGGCAAGCTCCGCATGTGTATTGACTATTGCGGTCTAAACCGCATCACAAGAAATAACGCCTATCCCTTGCCCCGCATAGATGATTTGCTTGATGCTGCAGGTGGGTGCAAGGTTTTCTCCAAGATCGATCTTAAGTCTGGCTATCACCAGATTGAAGTCGATCCTGCGAACCAGCACAAGACTGCGTTCAAAACACGCGATGGGCTTTACGAGTTTACCGGAATGCCCTTCGGTTTCATGAACACACCGACCACCTTTCAAAGCCTCATGGACATGGTCCTCCGCGAACAGATTGGTCGGTTCGTGGTGGTATACCTTGATGATATACTAATCTTCAACAAATCCATGGAGGAACACATAAAGCACCTTGAGGAAGTTTTCACCATCCTCGAGAAGATGCAAGTCCACCTCAACTCGACAAAATCTGAGTTTGGGAGGGATAGCGTCATCTATCTTGGGCATCGGTTGTTTGCTACAGCCGTAGAGCCTGTGGCAATCAAGGTTGAGGTCATAAGCTATTGGCCTCAGCCCGCGAACATTCGCGAACTGCGCTCTTTTCTTGGTCTCGCATCGTATTACCGGAAGTTTGTGCCCTGTTTCGCTATTGTTGCTCGCCCGTTGTCCCGGTTAACAAGTAAGAACGTTCCGTATGTTTGGGATACCACATGCGAGGACGCCTTTCAAGCCTTGAAAGAGGCTTTGGTAAGTTACCTTGTACTTTGCATTGCCGATTCCAAACTGACACGGATGCAAGCCAATATGGAATTGGCGTAGTGCTGCAGCAAGACGACGACGATGGCTTGCGGCCGCTCGCATACTACAGCAAACGCATGCCCAACAAAAAGGTAGCTACTTCCACCTACATGCGTGAGCTCTATGCTTTGCGTATGGCTGTGGACCATTGGAAGCACTATCTTTTGGGGCGCCACTTCAAAGTGTTCTCAGATCATAAGACTTTGAAGTGGATCAAAGAACAAACTACCCCGTCCCCTACATTACTTTGCTGGTTCCATAAAATTGACATTTTTTACTTTGAGTTAAGGCACAAAAAGGGCTGCTATAATGGAGTTGTTGATGCATTGTCTTGCCACCCTGAGTACATGACTTGCCTTGTGAAGCCCTACGACCTCCGGAAAAAACTGAAGGAGGAAATCGTAGAACACACTGCCAAGGATTCGGACCTTAGTCCCATCCTTGAGCAGCTGCGGGCTGATCCCAGCAGGCAGCCTGATTTTCACAAGTATGGAGGACTGATTTTCCGTCGCTACGGGAATCAGGACCGTTTGTATGTGTGCCCAACCATGAGCCTCTCCGCACACACTTTCTGGACTTGGCTCATGTCCGAAACGTACACTTCGGCATGGCAAAGATATACGGAAACATATTGAGAAAGTTTGATTGGCTTGGCATGAAGGGATCTGCTGAAAAGTTTGTGGATGAATGTAAAGTCTGTCAACGAATCAAACCATGTAGACAAAAGCCCATGGGGCTACTAACACCCCTTCCCATTCCCGATGGTCCCGGGGAGTGTCTCTATCCGGTTCGCCGACATGGGAAAGGTAAGTAAGAACGACTATTCACAAGTCATTATGATTGTTGACCGCTTCTCTAAATTTCTTATTCTGATTCCTTTGCCATCTCATGCTCCACCTGAATTGGTGATCCGTGAGTTCAAACAGACATTCTGCAGTTCAGAATCCCAAAAACTCTCGTGAGTGATCGGGATCCGCGCTTCGTCAGTATTGAAAGGAAAGACTTCACGTCCCAACTCTGTGGCCTCAGGCTATGCATGACATCAGGCCGACACCCCGAAGCCAACGGTTTGGCTGAGGAAATCAACTAGACATTGTTCCAACTTCTCCGCGCTTTAATCATTCGGGACCAGGAAGCATGGGATGAAGAGTTGTATTTCGTCAAGGGGTTGTACAACAACTCCATTCATTCCACCACCGGCATGACACCAAACAGGCTGCATTTGGCAGATTCGTAATCCGCTCTCCTACCTATTCCCGGAGCAGCCAGCTAGTTTAACACCCGGCACGCCTGGCTTCAGGGCCAAGTACGATCGCTTGCTCAAAGTTGCCATTGCAGCACTGACCAATGGACAACACATCATGATCCATCATGCAAACAAGAAGCACCGACCTTCAGATATTGAGTTGGGAAGTTATGTCTGGGTCAAGATGTCTGAATTTTCAGAAGAAGAGGGAGTCTCATGCAAACTTCTCCCACTCTATCATGGTTCGTGGGAAGTTTTGGATGTGATTGGCGAAGATAGCTTGGGCCCTTCATATGTAGTTGTTGTGCCACCTCATCTGCGCACATATCCCATTTTTCATGCATCAAAACTATATCTCCACCGTGATGCTAAATCGTTCGATTACCGTGAAGGCATGATTCCTCTCGCAACCCATGGCGGATATGAGATAGACAGAATTAAACAGCACTTAGGGAAGGGATGCAACAGACAGTACCAGGTTCATTTCATGTATCACCCGTTGGATGATTTATACTGGATTTCCAAGCAGGAACTACTGCGCAGCGCACCGCACGTTGTTAAAACCTACGAGCGACGAATCGCCTCTAATGATGCATCTAAAATCTCTGCCAAGCTCATTGCGATAGAGTATTCTTAAAATCTCTTTGCCTTGTTTGCCTACGATGCGTTTGTCGGGGACTGAGAATGAGTTACTCGCTCGAAGGGACCTCGCTCTTGAAGGGGGAGTAGTGTGATGACCTGGCTAAACATGGACTGAAACACACGGCTGATTTCTGAGTCTGGCTCATAGACTGAATGCCTTGCTGAGTTTCCCGCTTGCTACTAAGTTCTCTAAGTCTGTGTGTGCACGCTTGCTGGACTGCATGTCTGTCTGAGTGTTGGTTGGCTTGAGTGTGTGTGTGGCCCGCTAGGGCACTTGTTCGTTCGCCGGACCTGCAAGGCCGGTACTTACCGTGGTCGTGGCATTGAGGATTGCAGCGGGGGAAAACACTCAAGTGGCGGGGTAAGAGGCCCGCAACACTTGAAGCAGCAGGAAACACTCAAGTAGCAGGTAGGCCGTTACCACACCCTAAAGCGGTAGATGTGTCGGGTATTGGAGGTGGAGCAGAAGAAGACAAAAATGGCATTTTTAGAGGCCCAGTAGTTGTAGGCTAGGACTAGGCGGGTACCAGTCTGAGTCTAGGGCCTACGGGCAATATCAGAGTCTGCAATGATGTTTCCCTCTGAAAGGGAGGAGGTACCGGTCGCTTGGAAGGTCGAGTGGCCTGGAAGTCACCGCCCAAGAGGCAAGCAGGCCGCTATATCCGCAGGCCGGGCAAAGAGCCCAGTCTCATTGTCGATGTGCAAGATTGGCGACACACTGGTTGGAGCGCTGGCTGGAGCAGCGCTAGCCCGGAGCAGCGTTGTTGGGGAAGAAGCAAGGACTTGGAGGAGGAAGAAGGACAGGAAGGGGGAGGAGCGTCAGAGGTACTTACCTGGCTATGAGTCAGGCATGGCAGCCCGAGCTAGAGCAGCCATAGCTGCTTTGCGTTGTCCTTTGCACAACAAGACAAGGCCCAAGTAGTCCGCCATAGCCTCGACCTATGAGAGTGAAGAGAGGGAGGCGACCATGGCTATGGTGGACCTCAAGGGATACTCACAGTAGAAGAAGGAGATAAGGAGGAAGAGAGGGTTGAGCGAAGAAGAGCTTTATCATTTGTCTATACTGGTGTACATCATCTTCTTCTTCTTTCTCTTCTTCTTGTTCTAACCTTTTCTCTCCTCTCAAGTTCATTCATTTCTTTCTGCAATTGGACGACATTGTGCTATCTGATGAATGAGTATCTCGAAACTGGCCAGGATCATAACATCATTATGGACTCATAATGCTCATATCGAGTTCGGAATGCTGTCTTATACTGGTCATCAGGATAAACTTCTATCTGATGGTATCATGACTTTAAATCTATTTTGGTAAAATACTTGCAGCCTTGCACCCGATCTAACAGATCGTCTATGCGGGGCAATGGTTCTGCATTCTTGACAATTATTGCATTCAAACTCCTGTAGTCTATGCACATTCTAAGTTCTCCCTCTTTCTTGGGGACAAACAAAATAGCCGCGCCAAAAGGAGATGAACTGGGTGTAATCCATCGTTTCTCTTGGAGCTCATCTAATTGCTTGCGTAGTTCCTCTATTTCCTCGGGAGACATTTTGTAGACTGCTCTATTAGGCGTTTTACTGTCTGGCTCTATCTCTATGAGGTGCTGAATGGGGGTGCTTCAACTATATCCGCATATTCTTTGAGCAAACAAGAGATAGTGGGATGGATCCTATGTTTCTTTTTTGGCTGGTCAGATGCTAGCCTTACATCGAGTTGTTCCTTCTTTACGAATCTAGTAGAGGTTGGAGCACTAAGGCAACAATGTGCCAAGGAGTTGCCAACTCTTTACATATGGAACAAGCGAGTTTTCTTAATCCCACGTGAGGGACTAGGGAGCTTGCAGTCATGCTCTCGAAAGTGCAAAGTGGCTCTAGTTGCCTCACCGCAATCAGTACCAAGTACTATATCGAAGGGGAGGTTATCTTCTACGACTACAGTTAGGGAATGGAGAACCTTCTCGTTCGTTTCCCTCTCCTTCTGGGCGAAAATATGCTTGGACTCCCGCCACATACTCCTCGATCCGCATGGTGCGGTTATCTGCGAGGATACTTACTACAGGCTCTTCCAACTTTTGGACTTTGAGGCTTAACCTCAACTTCTTCAGCGCCATTCTACTGATGTAACTTCTAGTGGCCCCATTATCTACAAGGGCCCTACTCTAGATCTAAACATCTCTACATCTGCTAACAATAGTTATCCCTTTTCACTTTTCTTCTTCTTGGCCCAGGCTGGCCATCTTTCTTTGAGCTCTTCGGCCAGGCCTGTGAGGGAAGCACCAAGAGAGACTCTAACACGAGCAGTCTCTGAGCAACTAGCTAGGTGCTGGCCAGCAAACCTCTGCGATGGACACACGTGGAGTGGGAGTTTCTACTTTGCGCACACACTCATCTCCACGTGCTCCTAGGGTAGGGGTAGTTGCTACCTCTACCGGCGATTGCCTTTTGCTGCCCCAGATGTATAGCGCAATTAAGCTTCTTATACTTCATGCAGAATTTGATGATATAACCTGGATCTACACAGAACACACATTGGAACTTGTCCATGCAATCCTGCCAAACATTACGTTTTAAAACTAGGGGTTCCCAAGGTCTACCTTCAGGGCGACCGGGGTGCCATTCACCCCTTCTAGGAGGTGACAGACTCGAGCTAGGGCGGTTAGCCGGGGGGCGTTGACCTTTACCTCCCACTTAAAGATCTTTATTGACGCCAACCCCCTGGCCGCCTTCCCTCGACCACCTGAGGCCTGGGGACCTCTGCCATGGCTTCTCCTTGCGGTCTTCCTCCGGCTGCGACAACAACATATGAACTCCCCCTCTCTGCACTACTGTCCTCTTCCTTAAGTCCCCATTCTATGTCAGTATATGGGACTTCTTCAACACCACCTTTCATTGTTAGTATGAGACGGTCTTTGGCCTTAACTTGGCCAGAGATGGTGCGACCCTTCCACATTCCTTTAGCTAAGTCCTTATGCCAGGAAGTGGTAACTGGCATGGACCGAGCAGCGAAGGCAACAAATTCCCTACTAAGGAGATCATAGGTCATCCCAGGCTGCTGCCTCCT